TTATAATTTTTTCTAATACATATACATATTCTTATGCTATGTATCAACTTTGAGCTGATTCCAATCAAATTTAGATTTTTTATGAATTTTAAAAGTTGCTCAAAAATCGGGCCAACGACCCAAGGCTATAGCCTTTGGTCACAGGCCAAATTTCATCAAAAATGACTAAAAGAGAATTCTCCATTTTATAATTTTTTCTAATACATATACATGTCCTTATGCTACGTATCAACTTTGAGCTAATTCTGATCAAATTTAAATTTTTTATGAATTTTTAAAGTTGCTTCAAATGCCATGTACTGTATTGTAGTGCTTGTCAGCTCATAAAGCTCATGCTGTTTAACTCACTTAGCATGCTTTGTGGGAACCATGGGCAAAAATACATGTACATACACAATGTACCATTATCTCTTCAACACACACAAGGACTGACTCAATCCTCACTCTCTTACCAAATTCTGTTGGGGTCCTCTTGATTGTTGCTGATAAGAAGGAGCTGCTAGTCCTGGCCTCTTCCCTCCTTTGGTAGCTGGTAGTCTCTGATGGGATGGTCTAGTACTGCTGGGTAATTCTGGACCAATGGAGACTTGAAGAGTCTTCCCTGAGAGTTTAAGAACAGGATTATCACCTCCTGCTTGATGGAACTGCATAGTACGAGTGTTCCCTCCTCTCCAGTCAAACTCCTCCTTCTTGAGTGTCACTGTTATACTAGGAGTGAATGGAACATAATATTATGAATAATATAAAGATAGTTAACGTTTCTATTGAGGAATACATGTACATGTACACACATACATGTAGTTGTTTCATTATATCAAAATTTGAAGGACGAAATGAAAAGGAATTAATTGATAAAGCACATGTACATGTATATAGAGCTTTAAAAAAGTCAAGTATCACTCACTTGTTGTTGAATTGGAACTTCAGTTGGTTTTGTGTTAAGTGTTTATATTTCTCAGAGAGGAGAGTCAAGAATTCAGTTTTAAGAACAGACTCCAAGACTGAATCAAAATCATTAGCAACATGAATCACAAAGAAATCATTTTGCAAGGGACTGAGGGAAAAGAAAGAGAAGAGAAATAGTTAACGAATAAAAGCAACAATTTGTACTTTAAATTGGTGGTGTGCTTATCAAGCAACCAACCGCCAAAATAAAATGTGTTATTTTGCTTCATTTTAAGTACATGTACACTCAATGACAAATGGTCATTAACATTATCAAATAAATCAATAATCATTATCAAATAATTATGACTCCTGTCAATATTTCCTATCAATATTTACATACAAAATAAAGTCCATATTGAAGTTGATAATGATTATTATTATAATAATTACATTGTACCTCATAGATACAGCTGTTATTGTCTCAAGTGGAAGTTTCCTCTTCACAACTTCAACAAACTGACCTTTATGTGATCCTTTCTTTATCTACAAAAAATAAAAGAATAACTCTAACTCAAAAAATACTTAATATAAATTTAATTTTATTATCTTATTTTGTTCACTTACTTTTTCTCTACCAATGAGGTACACAAATTGTGCTGACAGTAGAAGATCTCTTTTGGTGCATTTGAATCGTCTGTCATATTTATTGACAGTTTGGGCAAACTCTATCCTCTCACGTTTACCTAATGAAGAAATAAATAAATAAATAAATATTAATTAAAGTTGGGTCAGACATGAGGCAATAACAAATATTAATAAAATAATACATTCCTTTCATTGTTACCAAATCCGTGACATGCAAAAACCAATTGCTA